AGTTCAGGTGAAATGTAAAAACGTTCAAATTAATCAATAAAAATCTGATATTACAGTGCAGAGGTATACATCACAAAAGCTCTACATGCATAGCCTATGGATAACTTGTTACACCACTGGGGACTTCATAGTTTAGACATTAGCAGGTTTTTCATTCACCAAAAAGCCCTGAACGGAAAAAGCCTAAAATTATTTAAAAAAAACACTCAAATATGGCTAAAAAGAGTTTAATGCCAGGATGAGGTGGAAAAGTTAAAATATTGCTAAAGCTTAAAGCTTAAATTCGGAAAAGAGTGATGGAGAAGGTTTTTTTTTTAAATAAACAATGACGTATGAAGTCGTAAGTTACAAAATTCTGTGATTCCTACATTCCGATCATGGTGCATAGCTTTGGGAAGGATGCTTTCGACATTCCGAAATGCCCTCAGCTGAAAAAAGACTCTGCACATCGTGCTCTCAGAATCGTCTGGTGCGTTTGTGTTCCCAGGTGCAAGGTGAACATCGTCGGGGGGGCACAGAGATTTCAGCCCTCATTAGGTTTTAGGTGGGCCATTGCTTGTCCTGCCTGGTGTCTCTAAACTGCAAACAACAAGACCATCAAAGGATGGCAAACGGCCGCTAAGATAGTTCTGCTTAACGCAAAACCATCTTGCTCGTTTTTATGCAGCAAATAATCATGACAGGCATCATCTTAAGTTTCTTTGCGGAACTGTAGTGGATAGAAACACGACTTGAATTCAGTTTTTTTCTGCCGAAATTTCATAAATGTTCATATCATTTGCGAAACGTTTGATGTAAACCCAGCCACTGACCGCTAGTGTAGAGACCCATACTGTAACTGTGGATCGATGTCTGACATGTTTTATGTACATACCTGCTGATGCTGATACCAATGCAGATTTATAAACATTACAAAATGGAAAAATTGGCAGCGTATCATAAATTATCAGAAGCCCCATAAACGAGTCTGTTTGAGATCATTTCACAGCTCCACTCACTGTGAGGCAGGTGTGTGATGGTTTGGGCAGTTTGCACGATGCTAACGGGTTACTGGTTAGTTTCATTAGCCTTTTAGCTACAGTTCAGAACTAAAGAAGCAACGTTTCACTGATTTCTGGCTGAACTATAGTCGAACGCTTTTCCCAGAGTCAATTCATAAGAGCTCTAAGTGAAAACAACACAAAGTGCATTGAACTTTAAACGTTAAAATTACAGGGTTGAAATGCCAGTTTACATCAAACCAACATCACACGGCTCCACCAATTAAAGACCGGAAATACCGGCTCACTGTTCACTGCAGGCTAAAGCCTCATACTGAGGGGTGTGTCACATTTACGACTATGAAAAAAACCCCTAAAGAGAGAGAGAGAGGGAGAGAGGGAGAGGGAGGGAACAAGAAAGGAGGTAAGTAAAAGAGAGAGAAGAGGAGAAAAAAAGAAGAAAGAGAAAAAGACCAAAAGAGAGAGGAAAGGAAAGGGAAGAGAAAGAGGGAGAGAGGGAGAGAAAACAAGAGAAAGAGAAAAAAAAAGAATGGGGAGAGAAAAAGAGAAAGAGAGAAAAGAACAAGGAAACAAGGAACAAGAAAGGGAAAGAGAGAGAAAGCAAGAGAAGAGAAAAAGAGACAGAGAAACAGAGGGAGGGACTCTGAAAGGAGGAAAGAGAGAGAGAGCAGGAAAAGAGAAACAGACATGAAGAGAAAAGGAGGGAATGAGCAATGAGGAAGACAGAAAGGGAGTAAAGAGGGAATATGTGAGAGAGTGAGGGAAAGAGAAAGAAAAAGAGAACAACAGAGAAGGAATGTGAGATGGAAGAGAGAGGAGGGAAAGTTAAGGAGGGAAGAGGAAAAGAGATATAGAGAGGAACAGGCAGGAACAAGGAAGAAGTGAAGAGAAAAAGAGAAGGAAAAACAGAGAGAGATGGGGACAGTGAATATCAAAGATAGAGTGGGAAAGTGGAAGAAAGAAAAAGAGAGAGAGACAGAGAGAGAGAGAGGGAGAGGAAGAGAGAAAGAGAGAAAGAAAGGAAGAAAGAGAGAGAGGGAGAGAGAAAGAGAGAGAGAAAGAGAGAGAGAAAGAAAGAAAGAGAGAGGGAGAGAGAAAGAGAGAAAGAAAGTGAGAGAGAGAGTGAGAGTCAGAGACAGAGAGAGAGAGAGAGAGAGAGAGAGAGGAAGAGAGAAAGAAAGAAAGAGAGTGAGAGAGAGACAGAGAGAGAGAGGAAAGAGAGGAGAGAGAGACAGAGAGAGAGAGGAGAGAAAGGAGAGAGAGGAGAGAGAGACAGAGAGAGAGAGAGAGGAGAGAAAGGAGAGAGAGGAGAGAGAGACAGAGAGAGAGAGAGACAGAGAGAGAGAGAGGAGAGAGAGAGACAGAGAGAGAGAGAGAGAGAGAGAGAGAGAGCTAAAACAGTCTGCTATGAGAAGTCAGTCTGAAGCAGAGTGAGTAGTTCACACTGAGGGCCTCTGAGAGCTGCGTTTGACTGACAGCCCGACTAAAACAAACAATACCCCGTGTTTATCTTTAACTGGCATGTGCTTCTAATTACTGTGGGCGGTTCTCTGGGGGCTAATGAGATAATCAAGAAGCAATCCCCCGCCCCCTCACTCTTTAAAGAGGAAAAAAGGAAAAAAAACCCAATTGATCAGTCGTTTACGGGCCTTTTTAATCGCGGAGCGTCCTGAAGTCCTAAAGGCGAAATGCGAAAACCGCTTTAGCTCCTCTATGGCACGCAAAGCTATTCGTAAACAGTGCGTTCCCGGGTTAGCGGGCGCTAACAGGCGCCTTAAGCTGCTCTGGGCTTTCAGATGTGCTCCTTTTCCAGCCTTTAATCAGAGAGGAGCCCGCTGAGCGGCGGCTCCGTGACGTGACGCTGCTTTTCTGATTCTTTCTTATTCACAACAGCTGCTCTGCTCCCAGGCCGGCCTTATGCTAATAGCTTTTTGTCTAAAGGCTCCAACGATCGTCCTTTCTCTTCTGCTTCCTTTCTTTCTGCCTCGCTTTGTCTTGCTCATTCGCTCTCTCCTCCTCCTCCTCCTCCTCCGTGCTCGCTGTGCCATCGCTTTCAGAAAGAAATAAATACATGGCACATACAATAGCAGGAGTAGCTTTGGTGCCTTCTGCAGCCTTGGCCTCTGCTGTTTCTACAAAAGGCCGCGGCCCGCTCTACTGGCCTGTAACCCTGACCGCTCTGAGAGCAGAGAGGATCAGCAGAGACAGTCAGTGCAGCGGAGATTTAGGCTGCTGTCTGAGATGGAGGTCAGGGCTCATCTGAAGGGAAAGAGCTGCTGTAGTCATGCGCCATGTGTGAGGTTACGAATGCTGACCCTGTAGCTATGATCAGGCACTGCGTGGACCGTTTTACTGAATTAGTTCACAATAAAAAGGTATTCAGACCTTAGATATTTACAAGGATTATGTTATGATCTATTTAGACCCAAGGCATTAATTGAGATAGTAATAAGTTAAATATACATATTTCACTGTTGTCAGAAGAAAACGTTGTATCTCCAAAACGGTAACTTTACAGGAGAAGGGAAAAACATACTGTACTTTTAATGTAAGTCAATGGAACCAGAATTTTTTCCAAGTGATTTTGAGCCGTTTCATTTGGTCCATTCATCATGAAATTTACAGACAATGTAAAGAGCGACAGGTATTTTCAAATTATGTCAAAAACTGAAAAATGACAAAAGTGGACATACGAGGTTTTCTTCCAACAGCAGCAACATAATTATTATTTATAGCGAGCTTTCTACTGAAAGGTGGCTGTTCCAAACCCTAACCCCAAAAATTTCAACTTGTGAAAATTATACTTAAATTTTTGTACAGGGTTTTTTTTTTTGATGTCTTTTAAAGCGAAGCTGAAACATTCAGATTTATAATGATTTTAAGTAAAAAAATAAATAAATAAAAAATGCTGTCCCATTTTTCTATATCACTACTGAAACAGAGTTTTAGTCAATATAATTAAATTACTGTCACTTAGAAAACATAATTTGACGAAAACTTGCATACTTTTGCATATTAAAATGAACCAATGGGAGGCAGTGAGACGTGACATTCTTCTTTCGCTTCTTCAAACTGGAAAGTATTCAATCGAACTTGGTTGCATAACGTGGATACGCTTCCTTTAGAAACACGCACGGCATCGAACAATAAACAATAATGGCAGCATGGAGGTGAATCTGCTCCACTTTAAAACAATAATCATTTTAACTTGACAAAGTAACCTGTTTGTTTTACTATTTCAGGTTCACTGAGTGTAACAGTGATGTGATGAAATGATCAGAGGACGTTAAGAATGGCTTTACTGAAGAAGCATCTCTTTGCTCTGCAGTTTCTTATTTCGTTTGTTAGTTTTTTTATGGTTTAGTTTATAACACACAATCAACAATCCTTATGTTTAATAAAAAATAAGCACATTTTACAGGTTAATTATAAATTCTGGGTGTTGATCTGCTGGAATATACGATTCTGCAGTGAACTTAGCTGATCATTCCCAGCCAGTGTATCTTCCCATTAGAGCCACTACAGAGTGGAGAAGGAAATGGTTTCTCTGCTTGTAAATTTCCACCAGGTGCATGATGGGTAATCATCTCAAAAATCTAGCTGCAGTCTTGCAAATAGTGACCCTGCAGGATCCCCTGTGTTTGCAGAATTAGTCTGTGACTACGCTGATATCGTCTTTAGGTGTGAGAGGGTGTTAGACCTTAGTCCAAGTCTTCTAGTGGATGGTTAGGTAGACAAAGACTGAGTGGATCACTGATGACAGGCTTAAAGGGTTAAGTAAAGCTGACTGTAGGTCTCAGCGTCTCCTGGGAGAGCTGAGGGTGTGACTGTGAGGTGACGTACTGGTGCAGGGCATCTGGATGGGGTCAGAGTCGGTGCGGTAGTAGCCGTTGCGGCAGACGCAGTTGGTTGCTCCGTCGTTCGTGGTGCGGCTGTTGATGGGACACTGCAGGCAGGCCTCGTCGCCCTGAGCCGGCTTAAAGTAACCCGACAGGCACGCTGAAACACAGAGGGAGAGAAACGGAGAGATGAGAAACGAGCACAGTTTAAACCCTTCAGTGCTACACGGCTGCCAAAGGGCTCAGACATGCCAAGGAAATCAGGAGCCACCGGAGTCAAACTGAAGAGCTTTTTAAAGCAGCCGCTCAGAGTTTGGGCTGAATTATTCAAACCCTGATCTCTCTGCTGACACATTAGCACTTCCTGTGAGATTCTGTCACAAGTGTCCTCTCTCACAGGAAAACTGGGCTGGAGGGAGAGAGAGAGAGAGAGAGAGAGAGAGAGAGAGAGAGAGAGAGAGAGAGATACTACTACTACTACTACTACTAATAATAATAATAATAATAATAATAATAATAATAATGTATTCATACACAATAGAAATAAACACTAACAACACTTAACACTAATAAATACAATAAAAAAACACAAAGGTATAGATACATTTATAATTCGCTGCTGTCGGAACAAAATCTCGCATCTCCAAAATGGTAACTTTACAGGAGAAGGAAAAAACATACTTTGCTTTTAATGTAAGTCAATGGAACCAGAATTTTTTCCAAGTGATTTTGAGCCGTTTCTTTTAGTCCAATTATTGTGAAATGTACACACAATGTAAAGACCAACAGGCATTTTCAAATTATGTCAAAAGCTGAAAAATAACAAAAAAAGGACATATCAGGTTTTCTTCCGACAGCAGTGAGATATACATATATATATATATATATATATATATATATATATATATATATATATATATTGTAACAATAATATAATAATGATGACATATAACCTTCTAAACTTTGTAGGAAATAGAAATAAACTATTATATCATTAATATTATCATTATTATTGTTGTTGTTGTTGGTGGTGCATTGAAAGACAGGCAGTCAGACTGAGAGAGATACACAGATAGAGAAGGAGGCAGACAGAGAGTGACAGAGAGATATAGAGGTAGAGAGGGAGAGAGAGACATTAAGAGCAGGACAGAGAGAGATAGCAAAAGAAGGGGAGAGATAAAGAGAGAGATATGGATGGAGGGATGAATCATAACTCTTTGGCCTGAAGCTCAGCGTTTGGCTGAGCCGTAGTGTTTACTGAACAGATGAGTGTGACTCCTTCTCCCTTTCTCTCTTTCACCGAGGGCTTTTATCTCCACCTCGGACACCCCCATCGCTCTCGGCCCTGGAAGGCCTCCCAGAATGCATTGCACCTGCTGGGCACTGGGTCAACTGCTGTGTTTTATTGCTCTGCGCAAAAAAGCTGAGCTGGGAGGGAGACGTCTTCAGGTAACTCTCTGAGTTTAACCCTTACGCGGCACTGCTGCGGTGCTGTATGACTGAAACATGATGACGCATTTACATAAAGCATTACATTCACTTTCATTTAAATTCAGGCCCAATCCTGACTTTCTGACTATTTCTGTCTGTTTCAGTGTCAACAAATAACTAAAACACAGCAAAAACGTACCGATTTGTTTTTTCTGAATCAGCTACCGGTGATATAATTAACATAGTATGACCTGCTCTGTAATCTCCTCTAAGGGTTAACAGTAGCCTGGCTCCTGTTAGCGGTTCACACAGAGCTCTGAACCCTGAGAGACTCCATTATTTTCTCAATAACAAACAAAAACAGCTCTTTCCAACCGCAGGAATGAGGTGACACACTGCTGCCTCGGAAAGGCAGAGCATCCCTGAACACTGAGAGAGAGAGAGGGGGAGGGGGAGAGAGAGAGAGAGAGAGAGAGAGAGAGAGAGAGAGAGAGAGAGAGAGAGAGAGAGAGAGAATGTAAGTAATGAAAAGAATAATAGAGAGAGAAAGTGAGAACGTGAGAGAGATAGAGAGAAGCGATAAGAGAAAAAAGAGACAGAGAGAGAGAGAGAGTGAGAGAGAGACTGAAAGAAAGAAAGAAAGAAAGACAGAAAGACGGGAGAAGGAAAGAAAAACAGAGAAGACATAAAGGATAAGACCGAGACAGAGAAAATAAGAGAAGCAAGAGAGTGAGAGACAGAGAATAAAAGAGAAAGACAAACATTGAGAAAGAGACAGAACGAAAGAAAGAAAGAAAGAAAGAAAGAACGGAAAAAATAATAGAGAGAAAGTGAGAACGTGACAGAGACAGAGAAGTAGTAAGAGAGAGAAAAAAGAGCCAGAGAAAGAAAGAAAGAAATAAAGAAAGAAGGACAAAGGATAAGACAGAGAGAGAAAACAAGAGAATAGACAAACAAGAAAAGAGAGAGAGCGAGAGACAGAAAGAATAAGAAGAGGAAAAAGAGAGAATGAGAGAAAGAGAAAAGGATAGAGGGAGAGAGAAAGAAATAGAAAAGAGAATGATAGAGAGAAAAAGTGAGAGATCGAGGGAAAGTTAGAGTGTGAAAAAAGAAGGGAGAAAGAGAGAAAGAGAAAAAGGAAGTACAGGAGCAAGAAAAGGAAATACAGAGAACAAAAGAGAGAGAGTACAGAGAGCAAGAAAGAGAAAGAAAGGAAAACAGAAAGAGGTAAAGAGGGAAGAGAGGAGGAGAAAGAGTGAGCAAGAGAGAAAGAGAGAGAGGGGTAAAAAGAACGAGACAAAGGGTAAGAGTGAGAGACAGAGGAAGAAAGCGAGAACAGAGAGAAAGAGAGAGAGAGAGAAAAGGAGAAATGGAAAGAGAACAGGAGAAACGGGGAGAATGAGGCAGAGAAAGTCAAAGAGCGTGAAAGGCAGAGAAAGAGAGAAAAGCAAACAAGAAAGACAGAGAAAGAGAAATGTAAGTTCTCTCAGACCTCGTGGAGAAAGTGAGAGAGTGAGAGAGAACGAGTGACGCCCTGAAGGTCTGAGAGCAGAGAGATCAGATCAGGCCACAGTCAGCAAGGCCTGAATACATCTGGCTGTGGAAGCAGAGGGGAGCGGCTGGTCCAGCTAAACCTTCTGAAACCTCCCGAAAAACTCCTTACAATCCCTCACAGGCTCCTCACAGGCTCCTCCCCTCCATGCCTCGCATGCTTACTGCATGTGCTCAGTGTTCCAGGCCTGTTCGGAGCAATAAAGCACACACACTTCGTCCTCCATCGTCTTAGCTGGCGATCACCGGCCGGGCCGCGTGGCGACAGGGCCAAGGAAAATGTCTAGTAACTGGTTTATTTGGAGAGAGAGCAGCTCCGGTCAAGGTCCAGCCTGCTGCTGCTAAACCTGTAAAGCTGCTCTGTAGGCGATAAAACAATAACGAGGAATTTCCGACAAAACGATTGTGCAGTTCAGCTCCTTAACTCAGCATCAGCGATTGTGAACAACTACCACTTTGTGTACTCGGTGGGGGGGGTGGCGATTATTAGTCAACAAAGTCAATTATTTTTTTTAAAAAATGTTGATAGATTTCCATTGCAAACACATTTCTTACTGAAAATAAACTGTAAAACGTTCCCTATGTGCTCTGTAATGTTCTCCAATGTTTTCGGTGAATGCAGTACACTACAGGACTGGCAGGGGGCAATATGTCTTTTGTTGCTTCTCACTGCACCATAAAAAAAAAAAAAAATACCATTTGTTGTGCAAACTGATGGACGACAGAAGCAGCTGAAGAAAGAACCGAAGAAAGCTGGATACACTAACATTTAAAACAAACATCTTTTGCTAATAATTTATCAATTAAAAAAAATATATATTGCAAAAACGATAACAATCTTTAAAAAAACAAGCTGAGTGTCGTGAGTTGTTCTTAACATGTAGCTCATTCTGAACCCTGAATGCATTTTGTCACAAAAGCCGTGATTGGTCATTGTTAAGGCACTGCAAGTTCATGTTTTACAGCAGAAACTGTCAGACTCAAGCAGAACTCGATGAATCTGTTCAGCCAATCAGAGCGCAGTATCTGGGTCAGGGGGCACAGCACTGAGGATCTTCAGAGCTCTGATCTTATAGATGATCATTAATGGCTGTTTGTGTTCAGTTTTCAGAGCTTTACCTGCTTGTTTTATGGTAAAGATGTTAAATATTGACCTTAAAGAAAACTTTTATCTATCACATGGCTTTAACTCTGAAACAGGAAATGATCATTGAAGTTTTCTGCTTTTGGCAGAAAACAAAATTCTGATTAAAAAGTCAATAAAGTTAAATAATATTATTGATATTAAAGTGGAAAAATCTGTTTTTTGGAAATGAACTCTTCAAATAATCTTTAGTTGCAATGCGGGTGGTGATGAAGTCTATCCATTCACTCATAACAGTACAAACAAGTGGGGCAGTTAGCACAATCAGCTAGAGCAACCAGAATAAGCTATTCTTTCCTCAATGATCAAAATACTACTGAGGCTTAAAACAGAATATTAGAAAACACATTTTGCTGCTATAGTAAAAGAAAAAAAAAGAGGTTTAATGTTTGTTTGTGTAATTGAGGTCAGATTTTATTCCATGTAATTTTATATCACGTCTATTGGTCCAATCACGAAAAACAGCTAAAATTTTAAAATGCTGGAGTTTTCAAAAAAAAAACAAAAAAAACAACATTATTGAAGACAAAAATGTTTAATTGAAAAAAAAAAAAAACTACTGTGAAAATGGTGAATTACTGAAACAGAAGTTAAGCCTTTTAACTGGAAAATATTCAGTTTATCCTCTTTTATCTTCTATCTGAAGTTTTTAATAAAAAACTTCATTTAAATGTGGCACAAGTTTTCATGTCACTACCGAAACACAGTTTTACTCCACAGGAAAAGCCTTATTTTAGCCACACTTCTGTATTTTAAAACAGGAAGTGAGGCTGCATCCCTGTCCCTCATGTCCACATGGTGAGCAGATAGATCCCATTGCCTTGAAGTAAATGAGTCCCAAAGTCTGAAACTCAGTGACGATTGCGTACATTAAGAATTGTCACTACCGAAACACATATTTTCTGCAATGAAGTAAACTTTTTTGTGTTTTAATGAAAATATTCTAATTTTATGTGCGCACAGCTGTTTAAAGCTGTTTTTTCTAGTAATGTATTGATCAGCATTTTCAGGTTATGCTTGAAATTGTCACTGCC